TGGCCCATTTTTAATATATCGCCAATTTGGTCGATAAACTTTCGCCTAGGGCGACCCTTCCCGACTATGCCGTTCACCTCTGCAACATAAATTTGCTTTGTCACTCTTTCCTCATTCATTCTTTCTACATGGCCAAACCACCGAAGCATTCCTTTCTTAATCCTGGTCACAACATCATCTTGCAAACCACACTCTTCTCTTATTAAACAATTTCTCACTCTGTCATTCAGCTTCATCCCTAACATACTCCTTAATGACCGCATTTCCACAGCATTTATTCTACTCTCATGCTTCTTCTGCCACACCCAACTTTCACTACCATACATTAAAGTAGGTACTAACACAGCATTGTGAATTGCCATACGTGCCTTTTTGGACACATTCTGACTTTTCACAATAGAGTGTAGAGCCCCATTCACTCTATTTCCTGCATTTACTCGTTGTTCTATATCCTTATCATATCTACCATCCCTGCTAAACACACATCCCAAATATACAAACTCATCTACTTGCTCTACCAACTCCCCTTCTATTCTTATTTCACATATCGTTTTACTTTCTTCTCTTTCAAAAACCATAACTTTCGTCTTACTTGCGTTCACTTTCATTCCCTTTTCTTTTAATGTCCTGTTCATTAATGTAACCATCATTTGCAACTCGGCTGCCGACGATGCAAGTATGACTTGATCATCGGCGTACAAAAGGCATTTGACGGTTAACTCACCCATTCTTAACCCGCATTCTTCTACTTTCAAATTTTCCAAACAACTGTCGATAAATAGATTCAACAACCACGGAGAAGCCACACAGCCCTGTCTGACACCTTTATGGATGCCAAACCAGTCCGAGTAGGCCCCGTTGATCCTGACACAAGCACTAGAGTCCCTATATAGAGACTTCAATGCCTGTATCAGACCAGCGGTCAACCCAAATGAGTTCAGTGTTTGCCATAACACATCCCTGTCCACTCTGTCATAAGCCTTCTCCAAGTCTATGAACGCACAAAAAACTTTTTGGTTTTTGGCCAAAAACTTCTCCGCGATCATGCGCATGGAAAAGACCTGATCCGTACATCCCATTCCCTTTCTAAATCCCGCTTGCACATCCCAAATTTTTCCATCAGTTTCTTTCATAACTCTTTCAATTAGTACCTTAGCATACAGTTTTCCCACAATGCTAAGAAGGCTGATATCACGGTAGTTTTTACAGTCCTGCTGTGATCCTTTTCCCTTATATATTGGGACTATCACGGCTTTGCACCAGTCTCCCGGTACCCGCTTAAGTTCCCAACATAAATTAAACAAGGTGTACATCAGGTCTGCCACCACTCCTTCTCCAGCCCTTAGCATTTCGAGAGATACTCTATCATAACCGGCTGCCTTACCTGCTTTCATACTTTTCATGGCTTTCATTATTTCATCTATACTTATATCTCTATCTATTTCCTCTTCTTTCGGAATTTCTATTTCATTTAATTCAAACGTCTCATCACTCATAAACATGCTTTCAAAGTATTCCTTCCATCTCCTTAAACTCAAAACTTCGTCATTCAGAATACAGCCATTCTGGTCTCATATAGCATTCATTCTAGGCTGTTGTGAATGTCCCCTGGTAGTTCTTACGTGTTTCCAGAACATTTTAATGTTTGCCTGGAAGTTATCAGATATTCTTCTATCATTCTTATCCGTTCTTTCTTGCTTTTTCCTTTCAACTACTTCTTTTACTCTCTTATTTAGGTGTCTAAAAACTGCCTTTTTCCTTTCAATATCATCATTCATACTGCTAGAATTACTAGCCTTGGTTGCTAGTAAATCTAGCCGTGCTTTCTTCTTTGCTTCAACTTCCATCCGTACCTCATCATCCCACCATAACGTGTTATTTTTCCTTTCAATCGTTCTCTTACTTACACCACATACTTCGGTAGCTGCAGCCACTAAACCTTTCTTGACATTATACCACACAGTCTCCAAGTCTAAATCATTCATACACAATTCAGCCATACCACTTATATTTTCTCTCAATCTACATTTGAACTTCTCAAGAGAAGGGAAATAAATCCAATAAAATTTTCAGTCATTCATCCAATGTTTCAAATTTTCGATTAGAGCCACAGTGCTGTGGTCGTGAGTAACCTTCAGATTCTCATTTTAATATGTGGCACGTGCTTTGCTATTTTGCGTATTCGAAAACGTTAAATATAACAACCCCATATGGTCCCGTGGGTATCGTAAAATGCGACAGAGGAAAACAAACAAGGAGGAGGTAGTCTTTCTAATTATAAAAACTTCGATGGCCAAACCCGCACGCCAAGCGTAGGAACTATGGCAAATATCCCGCCTATGGGGCAATCTATGGGGGAGGGTATCTCTGGCAAGAAATGATCTATAAGATCTCTAGAAATATCTATAGCAAAAAGATTATAACACAAATGGGTTTTGTTATGGCTTTTTCAGCAATACAATACGACACCAACATAAGCACAGACAATTTACCTGTCACGACATCGGAATATAGTGGTATGTTCGTTATTCACATCCCCACAAGAGAAACTGAATCCATTTTTAACTACCAATATTATATATTGGGACTACTTGAGTAATTTAGTTGTAAATAGTTCATTCCAACTTTTAATACGCTATAATCGTCGGTTACGGCGTTGTTAAGCAAAAATATTTTTTACTTACTGTACTTCTGTACATCGGTACTTCTGAAGTATAAAAAGTTTAAGGCAACACATTCAAAATATACGGTCATTTATTTCATATATTTTGACAATCGCAAACTCACTCATCAAACATAGAATTATTGGCAAGAATCAAGATCTAACAGCACAAGTAAATGAGAAAATCTGAAATCGTAGATTCGTAGTTTGTAGTTATATCAAGTAAAAATTATATTTTTTACGATTGCATACTTACAAAATTGCCACAGACAATAAGATTTTTCTCCTGGATTGTTTCCCTCTTTCGCCTTTTATGGCACACCTATGCGACGTCATCAGCTAGTTGATATTCTTACACCGCCACTACACGGGCAATATCAAGGATATTTAAATTACTTGTTTACATTTTAATTAACAGCGTCAACAGCAACAGAAGTGTTGTTGTTAGTAGTATTTAATAAAGTTTTGCAATTTGTCCGTTCAAAATAATTTACATTACAGCATAGTAAACAATGTAATATATTGTATATTTCCTTGTACTCGTAGATGTAACACAAAAACGTAGCGAAAGACTCGAAAAACGTTATTAAAAAGTATTTTGGTTCCGTTGCGACTCTCATTGTACACCGTCCTTCGCCTCTTTAAATATTCATTCGTAATCTTTCTTGTAAGTGAAGTTGACAAAAAGTTAGCGCCCTAAAATATGGCATGTATAAAAATGGAACGTGAAAATTTCTACATGGTATTTGTCACAGTGGAGAAATTTTCTTTTTCCATGACAGAAGTAATGTAGAAAGAAATTACATAAATAATAAGTAAAAGTACTCGTGAATAGATAGTATACTATAGTACTCTTACTTACTTACTCGTAAATAGATAGTATACTGGCGATCCGCCCCGGCTTTGCCCAGCTAATTACTGGATCTTGACAACAGCTCCACCTATTAAATTTTCCAATTGAGTTTTTAAACCATCCATACGTGATAAAACCCATTGATACCTGGTAGAGCCATGCTGCAGCTATATTTCTGGCATAGTTGTAACACGAATAGGTCGGCTCGACCGGGGAATGACCACGCTCTCACAGAATACCAGCGTAAAATAGCAGCTTAATGCTGCTGTGTTTCCTATGGTGAGTGTAGAGAACCGGAGACCTTTTTTACTGGAAACGAGGCATTCTATCTTAGTCCTCACGGGTGACAACGCATCTGTATTTTGATTCCTAATAATAATAATAATAAATATTTATTGCCACACAATAATAAGTTTACAAATGAAAAGTTTACAAAGTAAGTATACACATAAAAATGATTAGACTTAAAATTTTTATAAAAAAATGAACATTCACAATTAACAGATTAACTAATATTACTCAGTTTACGATTATAATGTGAGGCAACGGGCACAGGCTCAGTATTCGCTGGGCATTATGCTCAGCACTGTTTTTCAGCCAGTCCCTGCTGTTGTGGGTATATTTTGGTCGCACGCACATCTTATTTAATTATGTATTGTTGGTAAACCTCTTTACAGTCAATGTGTTAGATGAAAAAAAAAACTTTATTACAGAATAAACATACAGTTATTCGGCCTAAAAATACTTCTGTTTATGTAATAACTCCTTTTTAACCTTTTTTTTTAAATGTTTCAAATGTAATATTAAAATTTTCTTTTAAGGGTGGTGGCAAATCATACCATATTTTTGCGGCCGAATATTTAAAACATCCCCTAAAGTTTTTAGTCTTATGGCATGGAATATTCAGCATGTTTGAGAGTCTTTTACGTGTATTTACTTCATGAGCATTTTTACTCCAATCTAATTTATTGTATAAATACAGTGGACTTTTGTTACTAATAATTTTGTGGACTAAGCAAACCAAGTGGAGTTTCCTACGTGCGTCCATTTTTAAAATATTATTTTCATTAATATATGGAGTAATGTGAGCTCTCTTTGGGACGTTATAGCAAAAACGAGTACATACGTTTTGCACGCGTTGAATTGCCTTTTTTGTTTTTGCATACAGTCGTGGGCCATAGACGGTATCGCAGTAATTAAAATGTGATAACACTAACGACTCAACTAAGGTCTTCCTGATCGTTACTGTTAAGTATTTTCTTATGCTATATAAAACCTTTAAACGATAAAAAGCATTATGTATTTTAATATTTACATGTTCATTAAAGCGTAGTTGGCTATCGAGGGTAAGACCAAGGTTATTAGTATGATCCACTCTTAGTACCTTTTTATTGTTGATGAGTATTTCCGGTTTCTTACTTAATATTTTTTTACATTGTGTTTTACTTCCTAGCACCATATATTTTGATTTTAAGGGATTAAGTGTTAGACCATTTTTTTTGCCCATTGGAGGATTGCCGACAAATCTTCATTTAACTTCATGACTACATTTTCCGTCTGTTCTGGCTTGAACGAATGATAAATTTGAGTATCGTCGGCATACAGATGTATTTTAGAATGTTTTAATACTTTGCTAATATCCGCTGTAAACAGTATGAATAGAATAGGACTTAAGATAGATCCTTGCGGAGTGCCTCTGGACGTTCTTCTTATACTTGATTGCATTACTTCCCCTTGGTCAGTGTTAATTTCAACATATTGACTTCTATTTGATAAAAATGAGTAAAACCATTTACATGTTGCCTCCGATACTCCGTAGTATGACAGTTTTGCCAGAAGTATATCATGGTTTATGCAGGCGAAAGCTCTAGTAAAATCCAATAGCACCAATATACTACCCTTACCTTTATCAGAAGCTGTAGTTATATCATCCGTGACGTGCAGCAGAGCTGTTTCCGTACCATACCCTCGACGAAACCCGGATTGTGTTTCTGGTAAAATATGATTATCTTCTAGATATCTCGTTAGCTGTGAACATACTACCCTCTCCAATATCTTGGAAAGTGTAGGTAAAATGCTGATTGGTCTAAGGTTATTAATTTCCTGTACATTTGGACTCTTAGGAATAGGTTTAATTTTGGCCAGTTTCCAAGGATCTGGAAAGATCTTAGTATTAATGGATTCGTTTATTATTCCTGTTATTATAGGTAATGTTACCGGTAAAGATATACGAACCATTAACCTAAATACCTTCCAAAGATATTCGCCGAAGATACTTAGAATGTCGCCATGGTTGAAACTCGCCGAGAGGCTATCATACAATATTAATTGCAACTGGAGTAACGGATCGAAGAAGCTTGACATGTTCCTCAGGGCGACACAAATTTAGTAATTCACGGTCGGTTCAGATTCGAAACCCAGAACACGTAACCGCACTCACATAAACATCGCGCTCCGCGGCCCACAAATAATATTACGATAGAATTTTATCTTTTCGCCCCGTATGCCTATAAACAAACGAGATAGGCATCTGAGTTTGCTGCAGTACTTGCTTTCCACTCCCAAAAAGTACAACAGCGGGAGAAAGCGCTGAGTGTTTAGACGCTTGAAACCCACCTCAAAAGTGCTGAACCATTATATTTTTATAGAATAAGGGTGACAAACGAGCACACAGTCCACCTAATGGGTAAGTGGATGCTGTGGCCCATAGATACATCCATCCTTGATTAAAAAAATGCAGACCCGTTGTCACTCTGGAGGACTAAAATGGAATGTCTTGTGAAAAGGGTTTCCGGTTCAGCAGCAGCATTAAGCTGCTATTTTCGCTGGTACTCAGTGAAAACGTGTTCTTTCCCGGTCGAGCCGACCCATTTGTGCTACAACCTAGTATAGCAGTAGCATGGCTCTACCACGTACTAAAAAAAATATGTAACCGTCACCCTACGAAGCAATAAGCTGAAATTTTCTGCAACGGCTCCGTGGCGCAGTGACTTAGCAATGAGTTGTTGCGTTGGGGGCCGCGGGTTCGAATCCCGCACGGAACAAGTATTTGCATGGCCTGCAAATAATTGTTCCGGGTCTGGATGTTTGTCCTTGTGCAATTTGTATTTGTAAACTGCCCTCCACTATACAGAAGAAAATCCTAGTGTGAGGGTGACGTTTTTTTAAAAAAAATTGACGCTAGTATTCTGTTAGACATTTATCAGGCGTAAAGGAAAATTTTATAATTCAATTAATTCCCTTTTAAAAGTGATAATTTCTTTGAACATGGAAATCAATAACGGATAGTATAACATGCATCGAAACTCAAGAAATACCATTCGGTAATAGCCTCTTATAACTAGGCTTATAAATTCCATATGGTTTTTTTTTATAGGATAAGGGTGACAAACGAGCACACAGTCCACTTGATGGTAAGTGGTTGCTGCGGCCCATAGACATCTACATCTATCCTCTATTACAAATCAAAATGTAGATGCGTTCTCACCCGTGAGGACTAAGATGGAATGCCTCATTTCCAGTAAAAAGGGCCTCCGGCCACCTGCACTTACCAAGCGAAACGCAGAGGTAAGCCTCTACTTCACGCTGGTTTTCTGTGAGGTCGTGGTTCGAGCCGGTTCGAGCCGGCCCATCCGCGCGACAGCAAAAGCTGCCACGTGGCTCTACCACATATCATTTGCTCTTTGCCCTGCAATTTTAGAAGTCTCCTTTTTGTGTACGAATTCCACGCAAACGAACAATTAAATTCGGCAAGTGTAAATGAGATACAAAAAGTTTTCGATTAAAATTGTATTCATTACTTACAATCGAAACGTTTTAACATAAGTTTTCGTTAATAAATGTTTTTCATAAAATGAACAAAAATGAAGAACGAAGGGAAATAAAACAAACATATAAACATAAACACTCACGCAGAGGGGTAGGCAGAGATTATGGACTTCCATTTGGTACGATCCTGATACACCTCTCTCGCTTCCTCCACATCCATATACCTACGCATACACGATCGTCGGTTAAAGGTACTCTTGATTTGGCCCATTTTTAATATATCGCCAATTTGGTCGATAAACTTTCGCCTAGGGCGACCCTTCCCGACTATGCCGTTCACCTCTGCAACATAAATTTGCTTTGTCACTCTTTCCTCATTCATTCTTTCTACATGGCCAAACCACCGAAGCATTCCTTTCTTAATCCTGGTCACAACATCATCTTGCAAACCACACTCTTCTCTTATTAAACAATTTCTCACTCTGTCATTCAGCTTCATCCCTAACATACTCCTTAATGACCGCATTTCCACAGCATTTATTCTACTCTCATGCTTCTTCTGCCACACCCAACTTTCACTACCATACATTAAAGTAGGTACTAACACAGCATTGTGAATTGCCATACGTGCCTTTTTGGACACATTCTGACTTTTCACAATAGAGTGTAGAGCCCCATTCACTCTATTTCCTGCATTTACTCGTTGTTCTATATCCTTATCATATCTACCATCCCTGCTAAACACACATCCCAAATATACAAACTCATCTACTTGCTCTACCAACTCCCCTTCTATTCTTATTTCACATATCGTTTTACTTTCTTCTCTTTCAAAAACCATAACTTTCGTCTTACTTGCGTTCACTTTCATTCCCTTTTCTTTTAATGTCCTGTTCATTAATGTAACCATCATTTGCAACTCGGCTGCCGACGATGCAAGTATGACTTGATCATCGGCGTACAAAAGGCATTTGACGGTTAACTCACCCATTCTTAACCCGCATTCTTCTACTTTCAAATTTTCCAAACAACTGTCGATAAATAGATTCAACAACCACGGAGAAGCCACACAGCCCTGTCTGACACCTTTATGGATGCCAAACCAGTCCGAGTAGGCCCCGTTGATCCTGACACAAGCACTAGAGTCCCTATATAGAGACTTCAATGCCTGTATCAGACCAGCGGTCAACCCAAATGAGTTCAGTGTTTGCCATAACACATCCCTGTCCACTCTGTCATAAGCCTTCTCCAAGTCTATGAACGCACAAAAAACTTTTTGGTTTTTGGCCAAAAACTTCTCCGCGATCATGCGCATGGAAAAGACCTGATCCGTACATCCCATTCCCTTTCTAAATCCCGCTTGCACATCCCAAATTTTTCCATCAGTTTCTTTCATAACTCTTTCAATTAGTACCTTAGCATACAGTTTTCCCACAATGCTAAGAAGGCTGATATCACGGTAGTTTTTACAGTCCTGCTGTGATCCTTTTCCCTTATATATTGGGACTATCACGGCTTTGCACCAGTCTCCCGGTACCCGCTTAAGTTCCCAACATAAATTAAACAAGGTGTACATCAGGTCTGCCACCACTCCTTCTCCAGCCCTTAGCATTTCGAGAGATACTCTATCATAACCGGCTGCCTTACCTGCTTTCATACTTTTCATGGCTTTCATTATTTCATCTATACTTATATCTCTATCTATTTCCTCTTCTTTCGGAATTTCTATTTCATTTAATTCAAACGTCTCATCACTCATAAACATGCTTTCAAAGTATTCCTTCCATCTCCTTAAACTCAAAACTTCGTCATTCAGAATACAGCCATTCTGGTCTCATATAGCATTCATTCTAGGCTGTTGTGAATGTCCCCTGGTAGTTCTTACGTGTTTCCAGAACATTTTAATGTTTGCCTGGAAGTTATCAGATATTCTTCTATCATTCTTATCCGTTCTTTCTTGCTTTTTCCTTTCAACTACTTCTTTTACTCTCTTATTTAGGTGTCTAAAAACTGCCTTTTTCCTTTCAATATCATCATTCATACTGCTAGAATTACTAGCCTTGGTTGCTAGTAAATCTAGCCGTGCTTTCTTCTTTGCTTCAACTTCCATCCGTACCTCATCATCCCACCATAACGTGTTATTTTTCCTTTCAATCGTTCTCTTACTTACACCACATACTTCGGTAGCTGCAGCCACTAAACCTTTCTTGACATTATACCACACAGTCTCCAAGTCTAAATCATTCATACACAATTCAGCCATACCACTTATATTTTCTCTCAATCTACATTTGAACTTCTCAAGAGAAGGGAAATAAATCCAATAAAATTTTCAGTCATTCATCCAATGTTTCAAATTTTCGATTAGAGCCACAGTGCTGTGGTCGTGAGTAACCTTCAGATTCTCATTTTAATATGTGGCACGTGCTTTGCTATTTTGCGTATTCGAAAACGTTAAATATAACAACCCCATATGGTCCCGTGGGTATCGTAAAATGCGACAGAGGAAAACAAACAAGGAGGAGGTAGTCTTTCTAATTATAAAAACTTCGATGGCCAAACCCGCACGCCAAGCGTAGGAACTATGGCAAATATCCCGCCTATGGGGCAATCTATGGGGGAGGGTATCTCTGGCAAGAAATGATCTATAAGATCTCTAGAAATATCTATAGCAAAAAGATTATAACACAAATGGGTTTTGTTATGGCTTTTTCAGCAATACAATACGACACCAACATAAGCACAGACAATTTACCTGTCACGACATCGGAATATAGTGGTATGTTCGTTATTCACATCCCCACAAGAGAAACTGAATCCATTTTTAACTACCAATATTATATATTGGGACTACTTGAGTAATTTAGTTGTAAATAGTTCATTCCAACTTTTAATACGCTATAATCGTCGGTTACGGCGTTGTTAAGCAAAAATATTTTTTACTTACTGTACTTCTGTACATCGGTACTTCTGAAGTATAAAAAGTTTAAGGCAACACATTCAAAATATACGGTCATTTATTTCATATATTTTGACAATCGCAAACTCACTCATCAAACATAGAATTATTGGCAAGAATCAAGATCTAACAGCACAAGTAAATGAGAAAATCTGAAATCGTAGATTCGTAGTTTGTAGTTATATCAAGTAAAAATTATATTTTTTACGATTGCATACTTACAAAATTGCCACAGACAATAAGATTTTTCTCCTGGATTGTTTCCCTCTTTCGCCTTTTATGGCACACCTATGCGACGTCATCAGCTAGTTGATATTCTTACACCGCCACTACACGGGCAATATCAAGGATATTTAAATTACTTGTTTACATTTTAATTAACAGCGTCAACAGCAACAGAAGTGTTGTTGTTAGTAGTATTTAATAAAGTTTTGCAATTTGTCCGTTCAAAATAATTTACATTACAGCATAGTAAACAATGTAATATATTGTATATTTCCTTGTACTCGTAGATGTAACACAAAAACGTAGCGAAAGACTCGAAAAACGTTATTAAAAAGTATTTTGGTTCCGTTGCGACTCTCATTGTACACCGTCCTTCGCCTCTTTAAATATTCATTCGTAATCTTTCTTGTAAGTGAAGTTGACAAAAAGTTAGCGCCCTAAAATATGGCATGTATAAAAATGGAACGTGAAAATTTCTACATGGTATTTGTCACAGTGGAGAAATTTTCTTTTTCCATGACAGAAGTAATGTAGAAAGAAATTACATAAATAATAAGTAAAAGTACTCGTGAATAGATAGTATACTATAGTACTCTTACTTACTTACTCGTAAATAGATAGTATACTGGCGATCCGCCCCGGCTTTGCCCAGCTAATTACTGGATCTTGACAACAGCTCCACCTATTAAATTTTCCAATTGAGTTTTTAAACCATCCATACGTGATAAAACCCATTGATACCTGGTAGAGCCATGCTGCAGCTATATTTCTGGCATAGTTGTAACACGAATAGGTCGGCTCGACCGGGGAATGACCACGCTCTCACAGAATACCAGCGTAAAATAGCAGCTTAATGCTGCTGTGTTTCCTATGGTGAGTGTAGAGAACCGGAGACCTTTTTTACTGGAAACGAGGCATTCTATCTTAGTCCTCACGGGTGACAACGCATCTGTATTTTGATTCCTAATAATAATAATAATAAATATTTATTGCCACACAATAATAAGTTTACAAATGAAAAGTTTACAAAGTAAGTATACACATAAAAATGATTAGACTTAAAATTTTTATAAAAAAATGAACATTCACAATTAACAGATTAACTAATATTACTCAGTTTACGATTATAATGTGAGGCAACGGGCACAGGCTCAGTATTCGCTGGGCATTATGCTCAGCACTGTTTTTCAGCCAGTCCCTGCTGTTGTGGGTATATTTTGGTCGCACGCACATCTTATTTAATTATGTATTGTTGGTAAACCTCTTTACAGTCAATGTGTTAGATGAAAAAAAAAACTTTATTACAGAATAAACATACAGTTATTCGGCCTAAAAATACTTCTGTTTATGTAATAACTCCTTTTTAACCTTTTTTTTTAAATGTTTCAAATGTAATATTAAAATTTTCTTTTAAGGGTGGTGGCAAATCATACCATATTTTTGCGGCCGAATATTTAAAACATCCCCTAAAGTTTTTAGTCTTATGGCATGGAATATTCAGCATGTTTGAGAGTCTTTTACGTGTATTTACTTCATGAGCATTTTTACTCCAATCTAATTTATTGTATAAATACAGTGGACTTTTGTTACTAATAATTTTGTGGACTAAGCAAACCAAGTGGAGTTTCCTACGTGCGTCCATTTTTAAAATATTATTTTCATTAATATATGGAGTAATGTGAGCTCTCTTTGGGACGTTATAGCAAAAACGAGTACATACGTTTTGCACGCGTTGAATTGCCTTTTTTGTTTTTGCATACAGTCGTGGGCCATAGACGGTATCGCAGTAATTAAAATGTGATAACACTAACGACTCAACTAAGGTCTTCCTGATCGTTACTGTTAAGTATTTTCTTATGCTATATAAAACCTTTAAACGATAAAAAGCATTATGTATTTTAATATTTACATGTTCATTAAAGCGTAGTTGGCTATCGAGGGTAAGACCAAGGTTATTAGTATGATCCACTCTTAGTACCTTTTTATTGTTGATGAGTATTTCCGGTTTCTTACTTAATATTTTTTTACATTGTGTTTTACTTCCTAGCACCATATATTTTGATTTTAAGGGATTAAGTGTTAGACCATTTTTTTTGCCCATTGGAGGATTGCCGACAAATCTTCATTTAACTTCATGACTACATTTTCCGTCTGTTCTGGCTTGAACGAATGATAAATTTGAGTATCGTCGGCATACAGATGTATTTTAGAATGTTTTAATACTTTGCTAATATCCGCTGTAAACAGTATGAATAGAATAGGACTTAAGATAGATCCTTGCGGAGTGCCTCTGGACGTTCTTCTTATACTTGATTGCATTACTTCCCCTTGGTCAGTGTTAATTTCAACATATTGACTTCTATTTGATAAAAATGAGTAAAACCATTTACATGTTGCCTCCGATACTCCGTAGTATGACAGTTTTGCCAGAAGTATATCATGGTTTATGCAGGCGAAAGCTCTAGTAAAATCCAATAGCACCAATATACTACCCTTACCTTTATCAGAAGCTGTAGTTATATCATCCGTGACGTGCAGCAGAGCTGTTTCCGTACCATACCCTCGACGAAACCCGGATTGTGTTTCTGGTAAAATATGATTATCTTCTAGATATCTCGTTAGCTGTGAACATACTACCCTCTCCAATATCTTGGAAAGTGTAGGTAAAATGCTGATTGGTCTAAGGTTATTAATTTCCTGTACATTTGGACTCTTAGGAATAGGTTTAATTTTGGCCAGTTTCCAAGGATCTGGAAAGATCTTAGTATTAATGGATTCGTTTATTATTCCTGTTATTATAGGTAATGTTACCGGTAAAGATATACGAACCATATCTATATTAATTAAATCGTGTCCACTGGCTTTAGTTCCAATTGCTGTAATTACTTTATAAACCTCAGATTCTGTTGCGGTTGTTATATTAAATTCAGTGTTATTTAATCGGTTGCTATTGAAGTAATTAAAAGTACTTTTATCTATTTCATTATCTCCTGGCACTTCTATAAAATAGTTATTAATAGTATCGGGGTCACAGAGGTGTGATGGTATGCATATTTGTCCTGATTGGTTCCCCACGGGCGATATTCGCTTCAGATGGCTCCACATAGTTTTTGGATTACCCTGATTTTTGTTAATGAAAAACGTAAAATAAGCTGACTTTTCTCTATTGATTGCGCTGTTTACTAAGTTTCTGAGACTTTTATAATAGTCATTGTGCGAATCCTTTCCTGAAGTATTGGCACGATTATGAGCAGAGTCGCGGAGTGTCATCATTAATTTTATATTGTCTGTAATCCATGGTGTTGGTTTTCGTTTTAGCCTAATTAACTTTAAAGGTGCATGTATTTCAAAAGCGTCAAGCAACATACTACTAAACTGTTGAACTTTTTTGTGGATATTATTTTCAATTACAGTATCATACCAAGACAGGTTTTCCAGATGAGCTAAAAATTCATTTTGATTCATTTAGGTATAGCTGTTTCTCCTTAGGTTTATTAATTTTAAGTTTGGAAATCACTATGGCATGGTCACTCAGTTCCGTGTTATGGTATACGTTAATAATTTTGCATAATTCTGGAGAATCGGTCAAAATAAGATCTAGAAGTGATTCTTTTTTATCAGTAATGCGTGTTGCTTCATTAACGAGTTGAAAGAGTCCTTGCTGCGATAAAAACGTATTTAGTTTGCGCGCTATTAATTTATCAGGTTGTAGGAGGTCGATATTAAAGTCAGTTAATAAAAAAATGCAATCACAATATCAGAAAGTACTTATAGATTCACTTAGTGCATCCATCGCAATCTCAATATCTATCGATTCTGGTCTATATGCTGTACCAATCGCGACACGTCCGCTGCCGGGAATCTTTAGTTCGAGCCACATTTGTTCTAGTTGTGATTTTGGGTGTTGCGTGGTCCGCAACCGAAGTTCTTTTCGAACAAAGAACCCTACACCGCCTCCGCGGCTATCCCGTGGGCGTGGTTTGTGTTTAAGTGTATATCCTGGTACTAATAATGCCATCTTTTCTTCGCCTTCTTTAAGCCAAGTTTCATTAAGAGCGAGAATGTCAGGTTTATATTTGTCAATACTGGCCAATAACTCATCTTTACCTGTATTTAACGATCTGACATTAAGTAACCCCAATGTTAAACTGCGATTTTTATTTAAAGGAGCCATTATTATAAACATATGTCTTCAAAAAATGTATTGCAACTGTCAGATGTTCTGAGCCTATACAAAAATTATAGATAACAATAATATCAGATACAAAGCAAAAAACGCAACCAGCAACTAAACGTATAAAAGGGTGGATCGTATACACGAAACTCCCTATAAAGCACCTAAAAATAAATCTATGATTAAAAAATATGTAATTGACATTATTATAAACAGTTTGAAGGTTGATATTACAATTCGTTTTTATAACTTTACTTACATTTACACCACTTACAATAAAAAATTTTGCATAAATTTTATTATTTACTAACGCTAACTGAACCAACCATATCTTCACCAAAAACCTTAACTAAATCTGTTTCCGAACGAATACAATAGCTCTTCTTACCATGTTCTTGACGTATATATATATTTCCATCTCTTGTCCATACATACTGCCACTTATTTCGCTTAGATATTTCCCGTGACTTTAGAAAGAGCTGACGGTTATATTTAGTAAGGCGTTCATTGATATAAAATAAACGCGGAGATCCAGGAAGATCCATGTCAGCAGTGTTAGCACCGCGTCTCACGCGTGCTGCCTGCAACAATGCATCTTTTTGTGCTCGGCGTGTGAGCCTTACTACAATTGGTCGGGGGTTTGGGACCGGCTGTCCTTCAACAAGCGCCCTTATTGGCCCGACGCGTTTTACACTTACTATGTCACGGTCCTCAATCTCCACAGTTAGTTTCTTAGCGACAGTAAGCGTGACGTGCATTAGGTTTTCATTTCTCACCTCTGGTATACCCGCTATCTCCACATCACTGGATAACATCTCCTGCTCACGGTCTTGAAGGTCTATTTTCAATTGAGTTATTGTTGTTTCCAGGTGTTCAATTCTGTTAGATTCTTTGTTAATTTTGTTTACTTCCAAGGACTCTAATTTAGCTTCTAAATAATCAATTCGTTCGTTATACTTATTCATAACTGCCGTTAATTCAGACAAGGTGCTATTAAATTGTACCATTTCATTACGGACTGCACGTAATTCACACCAAAATAACCGCATTTCCTTAGCAGGACTTAAATCTGAGATCTCAGAAGGAGACATGTTTAGTATATTATCCGTATCTGTTGGTCTGACTATTTTTACACGATGTGTAATATTATGGGAATTTTCGGAGTTATCCAACTCAACTAAGTCTTCCTGGGATTTTTGTGACATCGTGCTTGCGCGTACCGGCGTATTGGTATTATCAGTCTTTGGCTGCTTACTGCGACATTCTATACATTTCCAAGAACGTTTGTTCTCCTGATCCATTAAATGAAAACGTTTATTTGATACATTAGCGCAAAGTAAATCATATTTTAACTTACATATTGAACATCCCAGAAACTCTCTTTGCGGCAAGTTGTTGTTGCAGCCCGCACATTTTTGTACTATTTTGCTATTCTTTGTTGACGAAGACATGTCCCGTGGATGCAATATTAATTTCAACTTAGCGGTAGACTTAAAATAATCAGCTGATCGTCAGCAATGCAGCCCGGTTGTTAAAACTTCTAAGCGAACTGTCCGACGAAAAGAACGTAAGCGCCGTGCAGATCGTGTCGCTTACGCGTTATAGTCAACAATTTCTCAAGAAACACACGTTTGAATATTTACTTTTAATTATGTCCTTATTTTATGTTAATGTTTCACTAATCACTCACTGTCTGACTAAATACTAGACCAAAAAACATAGATACACATCAAAATTACGGGTTATTCTCACAATATAAACTTTTTTACTAGCTAGAACATTTAGATACGTGCGACCTTTACGACGTCTCGGTTTTAGAGTGTAATCTAGAATCTAATCGAGAATAAATGTAGATGTCTATGGGCCACAGCAGCCACCTACCATCAGGTGGACTGTGTGCTCGTTTGTCACCCTTATCATATAAAAAAATCCAGGAACCCACTCTAAAAACACAACACACACAAAAAAATCTTCAAATCGGTTGAGCCATTTTCGAGTTTTTGCGAGACAGTAGAGCAGTTGATTTTTATATATAGAAAGGAATATGTAATAATGCGTCTGTTTATAGAAATATACGAGTATGTGTTGATATTCATAATATTTCGTTTTGTTGATGTTATTTTGTTACGTACATGTGTAACAAATCCATTTTAGCTAATTTTTTTTTTATAGAATAAGGGACTAACGAGCATACAGTCCACCTGATGGTATGGTGATCCATTGACATCTACATTAATCCTCAATTAAAAATCAAAATGCAGATGTGTTGTCACCCCTGAGGATTAAGATGGAATACTTCGTTTCCAGTAAAGTGGGTCTCCGGTTCTCTACACACACCATATGAAACACAGGAGCATTAAGCTTCTATTTTACGCTGGTATTCTGTGAAAGCGTGGCATATATGACATTCTAAATTTTTTTAACTTTTTTACTGCGTCACATTATACTATTCCTAGGGAATGGTAGAGAATGCCTATAGGCATTAAGTCCGCTGTGTATGTTATTTGCGAGCACTGCATGTTGAACTTTGAATGCGGATGATTTAATATTTCAGGGCATTTAAAAGTTTAATAAAACTTTTAAAAGCAAAAAATTAATTTAAAACAAAAACTAAGCTTTTAGTTATTGATACTTCAACTAAAAATATCCTCTACCCCATATCGTCCCGTGAGCTTCGTGAGAGGCAACAGGAAGAAACGGAAACAGATGGATAGCAGCATCCTCTAATAACAACTCAACTCACAGTGGTAGAGCCACGCGGCAGCTTTTGCTGTCGCACGAATGGGCCGGCTCGAACCGGGGTGGTACCACGACCTCACAGAATACCAGCGAGAAGTAGAGGTTTACCTCTGCGTTTCGCTTGGTGAGTGAAGGTGGCCGGAGGCCCTTTTTACTGGAAATGAGGCATTCCATCTTGGTCCTCACGGATGACAACGCATCTACAATTTGATTTGTAATGGAGGATAGATGTAGATGTCTATGGGTCGCAGCAACCACTTACCATCAGGTGGACTGTGTGCTCGTTTGTCACCCTTATCCTATAAAAAAATCTATACTTAATATAATAAAGCGGAAGAGCTTTTGGTGTTTATTAGAGCTTACTCTTTAAGAATCGATTTTCATATATAAGTCCGGGGTATGAAAATTCATGGAGAGTAAAATCTAACGTTAAGTCATGCGTTACGTTATGTATTCGTGTTTCCAAAACTACGTAATGTCGTGCGCAACTTATCTTGTGCAGACCCCAGCATAGAGTACTCTCGGATGTACTACTTTATATAAACAAGTAACAACTGTCAACGAGCTGTAAACTTGCGGAGTTTTGATATTAAGTAATATATAATCGTTCGTAAGGAGTAAACTTCAGTCGTGCGTCGGAGCTGACACACACACTTTTTTTATTTGTTTAAACACGCTAATCTCTGGAACTACCAGTAAGGTTTGAATTTTTTTTAATATATTATAGCCAGATTAAACATTAGCCTAACCTCTCAGCTACTCTTAAACCACAGCCTAAGAAGCATAGTTAGGCTGTGCTTAAACACTGGTTTGTGTTAAGCAAGTCAGAAGAAAAAGCGGTACCGAAATGATTTATCCGTGTGCGCTGGCGTAATAGTTAGTGATACGTAAATACAATGTTCTACAAAAATATAGATCTTTGCTCCATTTAAAAAAAAGTACACTATACCATTTGCCTATTTCTTATACAAGGTATATTGTGACAATAATTAAAAAGTGATTTATGAGCGTTATTATTAGGCATGGCATATTAATTCTTACGAACGAAACTAACTTCATCATCAAGACAATTTTATGAAGATAAACTTTGCTCATTGTAGCATATTATTTGGAAGCATTGTTTAAGAGATAATGAAAATTTAATTCACACACTCGGTTTGGCGCGCGAACGATGCATAAACCGCCCAAAGCCGCCCGATGAGAACCGAGAAAAACCGGCATTGAAGTTCGAAGAGTTCTTTCAATAAAGGGTAATATTAATTTTATTTGCCACAGTTTGCACGCTTGGCAGGCAGGTTGCCACTATGAGTTTTTTTATTAGATTGTTAAAAGTAAGATGCTACTGCCCATTAACAATTTCAGTTTTCCTCTGTCGCCTCTGTCATTACGCCAACCACGAGATGACTTTGGACAGTGTATTCTCTTTTATCAGTCCATATTTAATAATAAATATATATTAAATATTACATGGTTAAAAATAAATATTTAATACATATTATATTGCAATAGTTTAATGAGCTGAGTAATAAAACCTCTTAGATTATCAAAGGAA